CTCTGGGTGGTGAACACACAATGTGATATATAGATGATGTATTACAGAATTGTACATTTGAAACCTATGTAATTTTACTAACCATTGTCACCCCAATACATTTTAATTAAAATGAATAAATAAATAAAATGAGAGGCTTTCTATTTTTTGCACAACTAAAGCAGACATTATACGCAAATAATCGTAAATAGAATTATTTTTAAATGTTAGAAACTCTCCTTTAAAAGATGAAATCTTAGTCATGTTTGATTACCAAATGACAGGAACAACATCTCTTTTCTAGTGTAGCAGAGCTTTTAATATGCAATGACCATCTTGCTTTTGAAAAAGGACTCATCTGTATCTTATATTTTTCTTAGGAATGGGCTGTTTCTGGGGAGCTGAGAGGAAGTTCTGGACCCTGAAAGGAGTATATTCAACTCAAGTTGGTTATGCAGGAGGCTACACTTCTAATCCTACTTACAAAGAAGTCTGCTCAGGTAGGAGGAATTTGTTCTATCCTGTTACTAGGGGAAGCAAGGAAGGGCTTGCGTCTCTTGGCAGGTGATAGGATCTTTAAAATGTACATATAAATTTTTTGTGTTTCCTCTGTCTTCTCTTTCCCATTTCTGTAAATACACTTCTTGGCCTCTTACTTTATATTTTTAGAAGATAACAAACATCCTATGGGATGTCTCATGTAGCTTTTGCTGCAGAATAATCACCCCAAAACTTAATCACTAACACAGTCATTTATTAGCTTATGATTCTGTGAGTGAGCAAGTTAGGCTGTGCTCAGCTTGGCGATTCTTCTGCTGGTGTTGTCTAGACTCACTCACATGACTTCAGTCAACTAGTGGGTTGCCTGGGGTCTAGTTGTTTCTGGATGGCTTCACTCATATGTCTGGCAATTGGTCCCAGCTTTCATTAGTGTTTGCTCTTGGCTCTGATAATGGGGATGATGGACCATGTGTCTTCAGCAGGCTGGCCTGGACAAATTCACACGGTGGTGGGTGCAGAGATCCCCAGAGCAGCAAGAGAGGACAAGTGCTGTTCTGCTAGCACTTTTCAAGTCTTTTTGGTGTCACATTTACTATTATCTCATGGCCAAAACAAATCACAGCATCTAGCCCAGAGTCAATATGGAAGGGACTCCCCAAAGGCATGTGTACAGGGAAGTGTGAAGAAATTGGGTATATACAACTGAAAACAACAAAGGCAACAAGAAAAACAAATGAAGAAACAAAACTCATAGACACAGACAATAATTTAGTGGTTACTATAGAGGGTAAGAGGGGGCGGGTGGTAGATGAGGGTAAAGGGGATCAAATATATGGTGATGGAAGGAGAACTGACGCTGGGTGGTGAACACACAGTGTGATATACAGATGATGTATTACAGAATTGTACACCTGAAATCTATGTAACTTTGCTAACAATTGTCACCCCAATAAACTTTAATAAAAAAAAAAAAGAAATTGGGGCCATTATGGCAAAAGCCTAACACATGGGGACAAACATATCATATACCAGACATGTTTTCCTGAGGCAAAAATATTAAAATCCAGGCTATAATGAAGGGATTGGCAAACTATGGCCTGCAGGCTAAGTGCTGCCTGCTGCCTGTTTATATAAGTAAAGTTTTATTGAAACATGGTCACACACATTTATTTATATATTATCTATGGATGCTTTCATGCCACAGTGGCAGAGCTGAGTGGATGCAACAGAGTCTGTATGCCCTAACAATCTAAAACATTTATGATCTGGCCCTTTATGGAAAAGAATTTGCTGACTAGGGTAGGCAGATGCCCCCATGGCAAATTCTCGCTCAAATACCAGGTACCCTCTCTGGATTTTGTTTCTGGCCTTCAAGTATTTGCTTTACTTTTCTGCCAGCTCAGGTAGCATTTAAGACACATTTATTTCTTAAAAGCATTTTTTAACATAAAAATTGTATATATTGAAGGTATACAACATGATATGTCAAGCTAATTAACATATCCATCTCATCACATACTTTTTTGTGTGTGTGGTGAGAGCACCACCCTCTTAGCAAATTTCAAATATATAATACAGTATTATTAACTATAATCAAAATGGTATATATTAGATCTCAAAAACTAATTTACCCTACATAACTGAAAGTTTGTGCCCTTTGACTAACATGTCCCCAATTCCCCCTACTCCTCCCCGAGGTAACCACCATGCTACTTTCTGCTTCTGAGTTGGACTTTATTAGATTCCACTTGTAAGTGAGATCATGCAATATTTTTTTTCTGTGTCTGCCTTATTTCACTTAGCATTAATGATCTCCAGGTTCATCCATGTTGTTACAAGTGGCAGGATTTCCTTAATTTTTAAAGGCTGAATAATATTCCATTGTACATATACTGCAATTTCTTTGTTCATCTGTTGATGGACACTTAGGTTGTTTCCATATCTTGGCTATTAGCTATTGTGAATAATGCTGCAGTGAATATGGGAGTGCAGATATCACTTCAAGGTACTGGTTTCATTTCCTTTGGAGATAGACCCAGAAGAGGGATTGCTGGATCATATGATAATTTTATTTTTAATATTAATATTTTGAGGACTGTCCATACTATAAAAACACATTTTTAAAGAATATTTTATAGGATTTATCTAGATATATAGTCCACCATATTGACAGAAAAGGGATTTTAAAAATGCAAAAGCATTTTACCTTTTAAAATAAGGTTTGAATTGGTTTTATTTGTGAGGACCCTCTCAGCTCTTGGAGGGCACTGTGGAATGAAAGTGGAGGAGGAGTTGGAATATGGAAGTTTGTTCAATAATGAGCATATTGAATGTTTTCTACAATATGAATTCTTATTTTGAAATGAAATTTGAGTTATGCAGCAATGAAAATCTTATAAAAATATACATGTTCTTGTTTTTATTGCCTCTAGAGAATTGAAATGTTTTGATTAGTGTTTAGAATGTACAATATTGAACAAATACTTTAATGGTTAATCCATTTTTTTTCTTTGCTTCTGTTTCAGAATTAAACAAATGCTTATGCAGAGCTATAAATAGAAAGATTTAGATGAACCCTGGAGATTGCCCAGGTGTATCCTCTTAAGTCTCAGGAATGGAAATGAATAGATGCCTCCCTGTAATTGCAGACATGATTGAATAGCCTAAGAGAAAAGGTTGCTAAGAAAATCTCCAAATATCTACTGGTTATACTATTATTCCCCAGCAAAATGTCAATAATCAATTAGAATATTGTGATTGCTTGTTTGCTCAGACTCATTCCAATTCAACTCTTCATCTTCACGTTGACAACATAATGCCCCTTTGTTGAACTCCTGCTATAGGCCAGACACTGTAATAAGCACTTTTTGCATCTTTGCTTTTTTACCGTGTAATCTTCCAAACAGTTCCATGAAGTGTCTCAGTGCTTGTCCTTTATCAAGGGAGTGTTGCAGTTCAGAAAGGAAATGTAACTTACCCAAGGTCATACGTAGCAGGAATCCCAACCTCATTAGCTCTTAGCGCAAAGTTCATGCCATTGACCTTGGTGTAAGTCACCCAGTTGTCATCACATCCCAGTTTTTCTCCATTTATCTATTCACAAGTTCTCTTTTATGTCTATCCCTCATGCCTATACCTTTTAATTTATTGGTGTGCTTTTTAATAACTCCTGTGAAGAAAATCCCAAGCATTGTTTTGTCTTTCTGATGTTTAGAAGAGAAAAGGACAAAACCCTTTTAAGATACAGTCCATGCAAACAGCTGGTGCGTTAGAGGCCTCTAGCAATGGTGAAGTACAGAAACTACGGAACTTGGTAAAGAACTGTCTATGATGTGAACGCTATCTGCTAAGTTAGAGGTGGCATCAGGAAGCATGGTTGTCATGGAAACTTGTTCCTGATTGGGAATAGATAGTTATAGGGTCTTACCCAGACACAGAAGGAGAGATAATTTCTTTCCCTAAGCTTTTTTTTTTTTTTTGTTCTGATCATGAAAGGGAAAAACAAAAAGGCAGAGAGAAGCTGTGATAGAAAGGTTCCCCTGGCACAAAAGTGGTAGAGCCTTGAGATCCCTGGGAATGGCAGGGAAGGAGAACAAACAAAGTCCCTAGCTAGAGTAATTATGGTAACCAGCTAATTAAAGATTTTTGACAGAGGAGAGGATGGGGGAGACAGAAAGCAAGTTATACTGGCTGGGCCTCCCCGCTGAAGCCTCAGGTGCTCAAAGCCTTGTTGAACAAGTCTGCCCCGGAGGGGTCTGACTTTTAAGGAAGAAAAACCAAGTCTCCACTAAGATGCATACTAATCGCTGAGGTTTCATGTGAGAGAAATACCCGTCTATGTTCAGTATTTGCATTCATTTCAAAATTGCTTATTCTTACGTTTGTAATTAACTTTGTAAAACTTCAGTTACAGCCCAGGTGTCTTTTGTAAAGGTATGTATATGTGTATGTATGTATATATGTATGTATGTATTCATTCATTGATTCATTCAATGAAAGCCCAAGGACCTGAGTTGCTTGGCAAATTTCTCCTCTCATATAGCAGCACACTTAGCCTAAGGTACCATTTGGATTCTTGGGGCAGGTGTCCGAGATACAGGGGTAGCACTCAGGAGGAGGTTCTCAAAATCCAAAGGGCCAGCTTGACCACTCCCCCCACTCCCACTGCCAACCTATTCTATGATGATGAATGTCAGAGCTCCCACAAGCATTGTCTTGGCACACAGATCAGTGACCAGGAGCATGGAACCCAGAACCGTTGGCTGTAGTTTGTCACAAATGACACTTGCTAGTGGGTGTGCATGGCTTTGGGATGAATGAGTGAACCAGTATTGTACATAAGCGTAAAAGCCGGGTGCGTCTTCATGTCTGAGTGGCATTTTTGTGTGGCTGTTGATGGCCCTGCTATTCTCCAGCCTGAGCTGGCGTTGCAGTTAGGTCCATAGAAAAGCTGTACGGATTCTAACAGACAAGAGAGGACACGAGCCCCATGATGACACGTGGGCAGAGCTGGGCATGTAAGCACAACACTCCTTGAAGGCTCACCAGTGGGTCTGTTCCCTGCTGGCTGCTCTGCCTGATATATGGAGAAGATACAAGGGGACAGTAGTTTTTCAAGAATTTGCAATAAAGTTGCCCTTTGGGAATGAAACCATAAAATAAGCCTATAATGCAGCCGCTTAGAAGAGAGTTTGGCTTCCAGAAGCTGATGGAATGCCCTGACATATGTAAAAGGTAAAAAGAGAGGACCTCAGCAGGGAGGCTGGTCAGCCAGGCCGGCCTGGGAAAGGGGCAGTCCTGCTGGTACCCTATGGGTTGCTCTGTAAAATTTGGCTGCTGGACAGACTCGCAGAACCTGATGCCATGATGCTTTTAAGTTCTATCATTAACTCCTCTTGTTCTGATTCACACTCTATAGACACTTCTCATCTTTTGCACTCCTGTGGATGTTATTTACAGAAAGAAAATAAAGACACCCGGTCAGTCAGCCAGACAGTTC